GGTTAATATATCCAATAACGTTTGCTATAGGCTTCATTAACTTTGATATAAGTTGTAGGCCTAAGTTCACAAGCAATGTTTCATTAGAAACTGTGATACTAATTTTACCTACACATAAGTTACAAATTTCCTTGCTAACAGACGTGGTAACTCTCACTGCTAAAACTGAACTAAGTCATTCATTGAATACTCAGTAACTCATTATTTGTTAACTGTTCCTAAACTTCTCACTGGATACTCATTGAATCGCTGCCTTCATTTTATTCATAATTTATCTATTCGCCGTATACTCACTACATAAGTTTTTCCAGATCATAAACTCAGTATGCTTTAACAAATATCTAAAATAAAACATTGAAAATAGAGCTTAAATCACAGCCCCGTTCCTTGGTGAGGTTTCTTGAATAATCCTTACACACAAATGAAACACTACGCTAAACTGTCCATTGACTAAGTGTCTTTGGTGATTTTCTTTGTCAATGGTTAGTTTATATAGATGGAATGGCCTCTCGTCCCTTGTTGTTACATACCGTTTTGTCACTAGGGAAGTTTTCCCTGGGTAAGTGATCAAGCAAATCCATTGATAGCTTTATCCGAGGTGATCCTTTCGAAGTGGTCTCAAAAAGTACTCTGGACTCTTCAACAAGTTGACTTTTTACTGGGAACTTCCTCTCTGAAATTACATAGTTGACATTCTCTCAATGATGTACTTCCAAAGATGTTCATTGTGGATGACCTATGACTTGGAGTACCTGTTTTTCTTGAATTTTGTAAACCACATAATTGATTTTTTTCAATACAACATATGATCTTTCCCAACAACTGCTTAACTTTGGAGTTCTTTCTTTCTTTTGGCAAGTATTTTATAGCCATACCATACCGCTTCAATGGAATCCAGCCTCATTACCATTAACATCATAGTGAATTTCAATCACAATCCGATTTATGTCTTTCCCAGGTAAACTCTTGTAAGACACCTTTATTCTTCAGGTACATGAGAGATCTTCCAACTATTAATCTCAGAACATCCTAGAGTGTTTGATGCCACCCCTCCACAGTCACTAGATGTTGGTTTATTCCTAATAATTCCTGGTATGATCATTTTATTTTTTAGCAGTATAATGACAACTATCCCTAGTGTCATTGAAAACTCAACCTTTGGAGTAGTGATCGCCATGTAATGCAGAGAAGTTGAAGTAAGTTCCAAATATGCACTATTTTTCAATGTCTTTCTCGTGAGGTAGAGAGAATTCTCTTACAGTAAATGTAACTTCCAAATTTCTTCTTTCTGAAACTTTATGTCCATGTGCATCAATCTCTCTTTATTCATTTCTGGATGCAATTTCCCATCTTTCATTATCACATCGTGTTGAACAATTTTAGCTGTAAAAACAGTGTTAACCAGTATATTTCAAGGTTTTTGATCAATAAATCTATGGACTCTATTTGAGGCAGATAGAGCATTACGAATGAAACTTCATCCTATAGATGCAGCTAAAATCTGTTTTTTAATGTCTGGTTAGCTCTGTTTTTATTTTGATCTGGTTTGGCTCTGAGACACATTCTCGGAGTATTGTCAACTTGGCTTAATAACAGCTGTTGATTCCTTACAGTCTCGGCTGTAATGGCCATGTTTCCCACAATTGTAACAGTTTCCTCTTTCTGATATTCTTTTGGAGAAGTTTTTATTCAATATAGATTTTCACCTGCAGCTCCAGGCAATATGGCCTTTTAAATTGCACTTAAAACATCTATTGTCTTGTGGTTTATTTTCTCCATTCTGTGTAGCTAGTTGCTTATGTAATCCTTTCAATTCTTATAGACTATCGTCAAGGGAAGTTAATATTTCAATACTACTTGATCTAATAACCTTTTAACTTCTAGATGGGTCATTAGTTGTTTATCTCCAACTTTAACGGATCCAACTTCCATTGCCAATTGCAGAGCTTCCTTTAAAGATGTAAGCCTACTTTCCTTCAACCTAATCTGCATATCCTCGTCTGTTGTAGCATCTATGAATTGATCATGTGCCAATGAATCCTTCATTTCATGTGGAGCATCTAGATAATTTAATTAGGCAAGTTTTCCAAATGTTCTGCAAGTTCAGCTAAGTTCTATTCCTTCATCCATAGTCTGTTTTTAAAATATGATCTAATTGCTTTCTTCTGGTGTATCATTCCAAACTTGTTGGATAAGTTACTTCAAAACATGGAAAGGGAGAACCTATTTGATATATACATATTAACACTTCTTCTGTGCCGTCTATTATTATAGGATCTTCCTGGACTTATTCAGCAATGTCACTATTAAATTCAGTTCCAGAGTTTAGTTGGCAGTTTAACAACATTGCGTAAATGAGAAACCATGAAATATGATGAAAGGTACCGTGGGAGGCTTGTCAGGCACAATTCAAAATAATTTCCAAAGTGAAAAGGTGGTAAGGTGAGCAAAAAGCTATTAATCTTGCTGCCCATTTAAAACTACCAGCTATAATAACATTAAGTAACCTTCCAGCTGAGAGTTATAATAATTATGAAGCTGCCTGGTGTTTCAGGCTGGAATTTTTAGGTAGAAGTAGGAAGAGGTGTGGCTGAGTTGATCTTTGCATTTACCAGTTTTTTTTCCAAATACTTTATTGTATCAATGATTTCTTTTTCATACTTTTGATTTTGTCATTACAGTCTTTCTTTACTTCATCAGTTATGTCATAATAGACTTTTGTACTTCTTCAATCTCATTGTTGTAATTCCTCTGTACATGCCCAATAGCCTCATCAATCTTCTCTTCAATCAGATTTATTTTTGTTCTTAATTTCTCTTCAAATATTACGTCTCTTTCTTCTATCTTTTATTTTACATTCCTGTCTCCTTTTCTTGTTTTTTCTTCCTCTCTCTCTTTGTTGTTCTTCTAGTTTTTGGTCTCATTCTTCTTGTGTTTTCCTGTCTCTTTATTCTTGGTCTTCTTCTTCTTCTTCTTTTTTGTCTATTTCATCTTGGTATTCCTTTAATTTTTTGTCATGTTCTTTTAATTTTCTGTCTCTTTCTTCTAGACCTTTTAACTGTTTCATTATTTCTAGCAAAGTTTCGATTTCACTCTTTTCCCGTGTTATCGTCAACTAAAAGGTGATGTTTAGAAGTTCTATATATTTTCACAAATAATTCCACTATTGATTCCAGTGTTGTAAAATATTATATCGTTGGGCGGATTCTTTTAGATTATTTGGTAAAATTAATGCCAAGTCTAGTCCACATAACGATAATGAATTTATATATTTCTTCAATAGCATTTGCTACAGGGTACGTTCATTTTGACACAAGTTATAGACCTAAGATAACAAACAACGTTTCAACAGAAATTTTGATACTAATTTTACTATTCCTAACTTACAAATAAACTTACTTACAAATTTCCTTGCCAATAGACCCAATAACTCTCACTTCTAATACTAAACTGAATCACTCATCGAATATTCAATAATTCATTACTTATTAGCTTCTCACTGAATCACAGCTTCATTTTACTGGAATCGTAATTACCTACTATTCACAAAACGAATTTTATAGATCATAGCGTCATGCGCTTTCTAGCAAGTATTTGAATTAAGACTGAAATATAGCGTATGGCAGCAACCTGTATACAATTCTATTAAGATTTGAAACAGCTATTCGTGGGATAATAGGTTTATTTCTGTACAACGTTTCATGTCGAACATCGAGACATGATCACGTACAACATAAGGTAAAAAAATTAGTGGAAAAATAAATTTGTAGATTGGGATTCGCATTATATTTACTGAACAATTCCAACGAACTCTCCTAAAAATAGAACACGTTATAACAAAATATTGTATAAATTCATCAGAAACTCAACCTACAGATGGCACTAACATAAATTCGATCTTCCAAAAATAAGCAACAACGGCATCTATCGTTAATACGCCATTTATTTTTTGAAAACTTGAAAACTTTTATGAGTAGCATCTTGTTCAAGTTGTCTCGTTCAAGCGTTATTTTTTCTTTACTGCATCATAATTCGTTAAACCGGACACAAAAACAATATTTTACCTCGTTTGTGGAGCTGTTGAAAAAAAACTGATTGTTTTTACACATTCTAGTAAAATTCAATAATTTAATAGAATATTCCAGATTATTGTTGTGTTCCACAGTGTGGTGGAAGAAAATGTCATAGTTTTTCTAAATTTAACATTACGCTAAAGCGATGACACAAAATAATTAAGCCAAATGATTGCAATTGGAAACCAAACAAGTTAAACCTTCTCTGCAAAATATGCGTCATTTTAGTCAAAGATTAAATACCACCTACAATGTACCCAAAATTTTACAACTTCATAATACATATTCCACCTTTATGTAAAAAGATGTATATATTCCAAAGGCATGTATATATATATCACTTCCATTACCATACATTGGCTTTCAAACTGTAATTTCGCATACTAATTCTCTAAACATTCTACAAATGATATTGACTCATTAAAGTCTCCCGGTGGGACAGAGGTAAATCTACGGAGTTATAACACAACAATCCGCAGTTCGATTCCCCGTGGGGGGACTCAGCGGATAGCCTTATGTGGTTTTGCTCTAAAAAACAAACAAACACGTTAAAATGTGTAAACACCATAGTGCCATCTAAAGTAAATAATAGATTCATGAATTAATCAATATATATATTTTTTAAGTCGAAGTTATTTCTTGAATTCTTACAATAAAAATTGTTATATAACCATAATAAACACTGTTTGTTCGTTATAAGGCTAGAATCTTTATGTTTAGTAACGTTATAAATACCAATAGGAAAAATTAAATTATTTCTAATATTCCATGTAAAATAACTACTTGATTTTACTCAACTAAGCAATTAAATATCATATTGTTTTAAAACTAAAATGGCCAATCAGAATCTAGTATAAATTCATTCCGGTACTGTACTGTAATGCTGGTATAAAAGATAACAGTAATACAGAGGGCAGCAGTTGAATTGTACGGGCTGCCAGAGGAACGTGTTAGATATTTTACTAATATAGTAGTTTTGGTGCTCGGAAGAATCGAACAGTATCTCATTCAAGTTATTGGAGAGTGTTTGTGTTAAGGTGCTCTGTACTCTACCTGGTGTATTATAAAGGTGAGTTAATAATGCTATATTATAAAGGTATATGAACAAATAATGAAATCTAATAAGGATTAAAATGAAGTTAAAACTTAAAAATAACTTGGCCAGTTCATAACTATTACAGTAGTAGTAGTAATAACTAGTATTAAATTTCCACTACTACTAGTAATAAACTAAAATGCTTAACTTTTAAGTTTAAAGAAATTTTTATTAAGCCTGACATTAGACACTTCAATTTAAACTTTTATTTGTAATCATATGAATTATTAACTTAAAAATATCTGTACTATTTGATTTAAAATTAAAGATCTGTAAGTCACTAATGTGTATAAACTAATAAAGTATAATGTGCACAATTTCCGGCTATAGTATAAAGTAATAAATACTACTGTAGAAGTAGGAATTTGTCATGTGCAGTTCATAATTATACTAGTTTATAATACTAATTTGTATCTTAGTTTACTTTGGCCGATTTTAAAGTTTATGAGAAAGCTATAAATTAGAATGTAACAACGATAAAACGTTAATGTCTCAGTCTACTACTGCTGCTAGTAGTAGTAGTAGTACTAGCTAAGCTCTAAAGTTTAGTCAAAGTCTTATTTTTAAATATTAAGCAAAGTTCTACTAAACCTGTTTAACATTTAAGAAAGTCTGTAAATGACTTAGGACAGTTTAGAAATATAATTAAGACAAATCAGTAAATAGCAGAACTTGTAATGTTGTTAATGCTCCTCTAATCAGGTATGCCCACTTATATTATAGAAAGCTTGCTTAAACGCTTAATGCCAGATCTAAAGTTATATCCATATTTCCATTTATTATATAATAATCTGAAATAATTATCTATAGCAGCATAAGAATATAAATTATGTAAGGAAGATCAAGGTGAGGAATAGTTGTCAGTCTGTCACTCACCAAAAGTTGACAAACATCTAAATTAGATAAAATGTAGTTCTTCACATCAACATACCTTTACTGTTTACAACATTAACAAAAGTTTACTTCAAAATTTACTTTAAACTCCACAACATCATGCAAAACTTTCCATAAGTTCAGACTATCAAAATTTTTTTTTTTGGCAAAGTAGTAGCCTGCATTTTGGCTTCCAATTTTCTTATTTTATATTCTACCATTTTGACCATCCACATATAGGAAGACTGTCAAAACTAATAATTTTGAACAATCTAGTTAAGTAACCTCTGATTTTTTTATGCATAACAAACATAAAAAATTAAATGTATCCTTATAGCTCAAATTTCTTAAATCAGGAATTTTCTGTATTAACTCAATTATATCTTTCTTGTTTGAAATAGTACAACATTGTATATAGTATTCAGAATGAGATTTTACCAAACTTGTATATAAAGACAAGAATATTACTATTCATAATTAACAATAAAAAATCTGTGTAAGCCCCAGAACTATTAGCTTTTGTGACCAAAGATAAATATGCAGCTGGAGGCTTCTGTCTCTTGTAAACAGTACCTTAAACCTTTTCCCAATTGAAAACAAGTTTCATTTAAAAAACAGATTTGCTTCTGTGTCTCCAAAAACTCAACTTGTAACCCCAAATATACACATTTATGTTTCCAACTGCTCTAACTTAGGAAGGCAGCCATAAACTTAACAATTTTAAACACCTTATTCAGTTGTATTTTATACACAATTTAGTTCATTCTCATCTTAAAAGTGAAGTTGAAGTCCTAATTCTTAATCAGGCAGAAGTTTGTATTATTTATTGAATGTTCAAGCTCATTTTTGAAATTAGGAAAGTCTAAATATGACTGGGACATTTAGATGAAGTAATATTATAAACTGTTTAAACACTTTACCAAACTGTCAAAGAAATATTGTTATTGCCTAGTTCACATTTAGTTATGAAAATCATCTTGGCTTGTGAAGTTATTACTTATATTATATGCTCATAAAACAATAGATTGAACTCATAATTTATGTTACAAGTTACTGTATGAATGATATATATCAAATCATTACTAACCATAACCTAACAGGAAAAATAGGGAGAATTTTTTAAATAGTGTTCTTTGCTTTTTTCTTCTTTTGTGTTTTAAAATTAATAACTAAAACTTGTATTGTGCTTTGTGCATTTGGGGTATGGTGAAACATATAGAACTAAATTTTAGACTGTGCTAGCCAAATGTTTTTTGAAATTAAGAAACTTTCAAATCATTTGAATCTAAGATTTTAAGTTGCTTTTATAAAAATGTTTTGTACATTTCCCATTTCAGAACTAAAATAGTCTATTACCAGGAAAAGGAGAACTGTTATATGTAGTCATCAGAAGTAACTGTGTATTTATGTCATCTAATGTCATCTTTACTTGTTTTGCCGATGGATGATGGCATCAACACAAAGAGCATGGAAATTACGTAAGTTTTCCATCTTAAAAGATGTTTAATTTGCTGTAATTTAAATGTAATAGTTTTTAATAAGTTAGTGTAAGTTTTGACATTTTCTATCAAATATGTTCTTCATACTAATTAATGATTTTTAATGGAAGAGGGGGTGATAAGCTGAATAAAATAATTTTGATTTAAAGCCAATTTACTGGCCATATTGAGACAAAATGAAATGAAAGGTACAAGAAGAATATCAACTTTAGCAATAAATAACAAATGATTGCATCTGAAGTGATAAGATGGGTTGCCAGTGTGTTAAATTTTTACTTCAGTTTTTGTTTTATGAAAATACGTACTTGTTTGATATTCTTCTTCATGAACCAAAACCCAAAAATTAATGTTTACCCAATTTTTTCTTACCATGATTTGTTTTTTTCTTTCTTGCAGAAGAATTTGTTGCCCATGGATCCAGTGTTCGTTGTTTAGCCTTTGGGAAGAAATCTGGCCGGGTCATGGTCACTGGAGGAGAAGACAAAAAAGTCAATCTTTGGGCAGTAGGAAAACCAAACTGTATCATGGTAAATGTGTGTTTTTCTCTGCTATATTCTGTGTACTTTAGTTTGATACAGTTTTCAGTCATATAGGTTACTCGCATGTATACATATCTTTGCAATAAAAAAGCTAAGATATTGAAATATCATTAAGTGATACAAAATAAGACACATCTTTTTTTGTTGTTTTCACCATGTAGAAAGTAAATTCAAATGTCATATAATGATTAAAAGGATTAGTGTTTCAGAAAGCTTCCATTAAATGACAAAATGTAGTTTGACATTTTTGAGTATTAGAGCAAAGTAGATATATCTATAGATTTATTTGCTATCTACTTGATTTGATTGGAGAAGAATTGCCAGTGATATTTTAGAAAGGTTTTATAATGTTGATCAATAAATAGAAACAATCAAAAGTGGCTTAAATCATCATTTGTTTTTTAAACAACCAGATATTGTAACATATTAATAATAATTGTAACAATTATTACTTGATGTTGTTTTTATCATACTGAGGTTTTTTATTACATTTTTGAAATTTATTTATTTTTGAACATGAACAAACAATTGACATTCATTCTGTCTTGTATAGACTTATTTGAATTTTGTTTTTAAAAGTTTATTGATTAACTGTGAAAAAATTGATTAAGTGATTTCTTTCCAACATCTTCAATGCATTCAATGCCTCATTGGAATTCACTATTGTTTTTCTTAGCCTTTTTCATATTTCAGTATATCAATGATGATACTGCCATTTAGTTCCATTTGAAATGCACAAGTATAGTTCAGCTTTACTGACTTCTCATTTCAATTCACCAGTTTTTAACTTTTTTGAGTTCTTAATTAAACCTTCCAGTGTTCATTAATGTTTTCCATATTCATGCTGGAGTATTCAGGTTTATTAAATGAGAAACGTAAAATACAGAAGTGACATGTTTATTGTTGCACATATATTTATTGAAACTATTTAAAATGTAGAAGATGAAAACTTTAGAAGAATAGCATGAAATTGTATGTATGAATGTTAAACAGATGAAAGCATCAGGGCCTAGCATGGCCAGGTGGTTAGGGCGCTCGACTCGCAATCTGCAGGTCGCGGGTTCGAATCCCCATCACACCAAACATGCTTGCCCTTTCAGCCGTGGGGGCATTATAATGTGAAGGTCAATCCCACTATTCGTTGGTAAAAGAGTAGCGGTGGGTGGTGATGTCTAGCTGCCTTCCCTCTAGTCTTACACTGCTAAGTTAGGGACAGCTAGCGCAGATAGCCCTCGTGTAGTTTTGCGCGAAATTCAAAACAAACAAACAAAAAATGAAAGCATCAACCCTTTTACCAAACATCTTAATAGTTTTTCAATCATTAAAAAAATATCAAACTAAATCATAGTTTTTCATGTCTTTTGTGACAAACATTTCAATTATATTTGCAAGTCTGTGTAAGATATGAATAATGCATTAATAAATTGTTCATGTAATATATATCCATGGATGTATTACCTGACAAACATAGAATCTATCCCAAGGTAGTCATCACTTTTAGAGTAATATCCATAATCAGAAGGCACTAGATAGAGAAGTAAATGTAGGTTAGAGTATAACTTAATGTAAAAAGGTGTTATGTGTTGTTTTTACTTCAAAGTATCCACACTTATGCTAATATAAGCAGAAAGTTAATTTTGTTTGTTCCAAAATGTATGGGGGGGGGGCTACCAGATACTAGGGGTCCCATAATAGAGAAACTGATACCATAAACAGTATATGTATTAGACCTCTGTAGTAGGAAATTTATGAATTTTTTTATGTACACTACCATGCAGTCAGACATTTGATAAAACTTTTTGTTCTGTTGGGAATGACTCACCAATGTTAGATGGGTGTACTTTCAACCAAATTACTGCTCTGAAATGCCAAAGTATCTCAACAGTTCTATGAAGTGGTTCAAACAGAGCATTCTGACATGCCTTGGTAATGCCTCGGCATTTAACCTTTGGTGTTGAGAAATTGGTAGTGTTATTACTAGCATATATTTCACTTGGTAATATGGTGCTGTCATTGTAAACTTTCAAGTTTGTTGCCATACTACTTCTTTTAGTTTCATTATGTGCTATATTATTGGCAAAAGCTTTTCCATCCTGTCATGCACTGTTTGGAACATTTCCACCTTTTTATGCTTATAAATAGTTGGATAACATAGCCTTTATCTCTTAAATTTATGGAAGTTTGGATTCTAATTGTGTGAGAATTTGCACGGCTGAGAGTATGGAATTTATAGCCACATCATCATTAAAAAACACTTTGATTTTCTCTTTATAAAGACTAATATTTTGTGCAGCATACTTAGCACTTTGTGTTTGCTTAGCTCAATCAAGTGCAAAATGTTGAAAGGACAGTAGCAGATTATCAAAAGAGAAGGATGTTACCAGAATGTCTGTTGTTAAGATTGTGGTTTGTTAATATCTAAATTTCACAAAAACTTCAATAATAATTGTAATTAATAATGTTTATTAGTTATGACAAGGAAACCCTATTGCAGAACGTCAGTCACCCTCTTCAAACCATTTTTATGGCAGTCAAACAGTGAATGATCCGTAAGGTTACCTGAGATGAAAATGACTGATTATCCAGTTTCTGCTTATGTAATATAGAAGATATGGCTTTGTTTCGGTACAGCTGATGACACTTTATATCAGTATGGAGATGGTCACCTTGAATAGTAAGAGCAGCCTTGCAACAGTGTTGCTTTCTTTAAGTCAGAGTGTTAATTAGGTCCTGAGATGTTCTTGATCACTCTCCTTAAAGACCTGTTTTTAGGGCATCTTGAGTCATTGTTTGCAATGTGGTGAAGTTTCTAAAAGTATTTCATATAATATGTGGCATTAATAATACTATTCAACAAGATGTAAAGGTCTGTATGTCCGCCAGTGCTTATTCCATGCTTATGTTTTAAAGCAGGGTTAGATCTCATTCCAAATTGGTATTTATCTGTTAACAGTTTCTGGGTGTAGCATGAATCATTTGTAAAGAAGAATACTGGTCCATGTGTTGTTGGTCCACTGGATATGTTCTTAACACCATGGAATAGAAGATATTTGATGTTTTACTGTGAATTAATTGCATCTCATTGGATATCTGGGGTACAGGACAGCCTTGTGATGCTTCCAATTGTATGTTGATAGACAAAGCATTCAGTTGGCAACTATCTGATTTAGTTTTATAGCAGTTATGCTTATGGTGTGCTAGTAAACAGCTAGTGCTTCTATTCTTGAGTTATTGATGCCCTATATTGTCCAGCTTCAAAGCAACTGTAATGTTGTCTTAGAAGCAATTTGAAATTTTGTAACACCAATAAGCATTTCACAATAACCAACTATTATTGTCTGATGAGGAGTGGAATTCTCCGAAACTAGTCTAGCTCATAGACACCCCCCCCTAATGAAAGAATAGACCATTCCAAGCTTTTACTTGTTGTTGAACAAATGTTTAAACAATTCTATTTATTCAATTTAATTATATTTGTTTCTGTTAATTGCATTAATTGTCATATTTATCACTGTTGTTTCTTCTGAAGTGTTATTATTACTGTGATTTTTCTTGTATGTTATTATTGCTTAAACATTTCCATCAGTTTGTAGTGTTTATTATGGCCAAAAACTGGGGTGTGGCACCAACCTCTTCCTGGTGGTAGGAATGAGGTGGACTAGGCAAAAAATTAAATGGTTTCGCTCAACATCTTGTGGGCACACATACTTTAGTATATACAAAGTGAAACAGCTTTCACAGTAAGCACTTTTCATTGGGTGTGTGAGCTCCAGGAGAGGCTAAGGCACATTTCAGGGTAACTTTAGCTCCAGCTTCCACCTGTCCACCCTACAAAAAAAAAATATTGCTGGCCAAAAAGTTTGCTTACAGAAGGAAATCACTACTGTTGTGTTTGAAATAGTATTTTTCTTTTTTAAATGTAACTTGGTTAATTTAATTAGAGTTTATACTTTTACTATGTATTTATTTATTAGTAATTTATGTTTACAAACATTAGTTTTTGTGGTATTGCCCTGCTATTCAAGTGTATAGTTAAACAGTAACATGTATAGTAGTACTTTTTCTGGGATGTAGTTCAGAAGTCGCTGTCAGAGCATTTTAATGGGGTTTCATTGGCTACTAGTGGTTGTTATGAGGGGATTATATAAAGTTTTGTGTTTACTGGTGTCATGCTTTTTAAGGTACAGAGAATTTTTAATAGTGTATGAAGCAAAACAATTAGTTATGTGTTTTATTAGTTATATCATTTCTTTGGATGTCAGTTTCATTAATAGTAATGATTAAAATGTTGAATATATTTCTTATTTTATTTATACATTTTTCTTGTAATTATGTGATTATTTTGCATTGTTAGCTAATTTATAAAATTATGACAATCTCATAAGCTAGTCGAACCTTGTGAGATATTATTAGGATCACTGCTGAAAATAGTTAATAATGAGCTTACCAAACTGATATATCATTGTATACTAAGCATTACTTGTTTTTGTTTTATGACTTTATATACACTAATTACTGGGTTATTTTTAATTCCCATCTATGTAGTTAGCTTGCTTGTTTTCAGAATTTCTATAAATATAATAGCACTGTCTGTTGTGTGTGTCTGTAACTACTTGGCAGAGTGTGGATGGATCTTCACCAAAACTGGTATGGAGGCTCATTAGGTCCATATGGGGGTGCATAAAAATTTTCAGTTTTGAGTTTTTACCGCTACCTCATTTCCAGTAGATGGATCAACATTAAATTTGGTATGGAGATTCATTGGGTCCATGCATACAGATTTTCAGTTTTTACCACTACTTTGCCCCCTGTTGATGGATCTTCACCAAATTTGGCATGAAGGTTTGTTGGGTCCATTTGGAGATACATGCAATTTTGTATTTTACAGTTTTTATGGGCGTTTTTTACGTTTTTTTTACAATTACATTTAAGGGAAGCAACTTTTCATATCCTAAGATAACCTTTCATTACATACCTTCAGTTCAGCT